ACTGGGCTCCAATTAAACAATAAACCCGGGTATGTTGTGGCTGCTAAGGGCTCTAGACGTGTTTCCAACGTGACTTCTTGAAGAAAAAGGGGAAACCATATCAGTTATTGCCTGTTGTAACGGTGAAGGTGTATTTCTTCCTCCAGCGTGTGTCTTGAAGGGGAAAAACGAAAAACCGGAGTACAAAGATGGAATGCCGCCCGGGTCAGCAATCTATATGTCACAGAAGTCAGCTTATGTGACAAGCGAGATCTTCTATTTATGGCTAAGAAATCATTTTTTGCCTAGGAAACCAGTAGGAACGGTATTAATGATATTGGATGGTCACAGTTCCCATTGCAGCGCAGTGGACATGCTTGAATTTGCAGAGAAAAACAATATCATTTTACTGTGCTTACCCAGCCATACCACACACTACTTGCAGCCACTGGATAGAGCATTTTTCAAATCTTTCAAGACGTTCTATTACAATGCATGTAATGTATTTATGAAAGCAAATCCTACGAGGAAAATAAATAGACTCGTATTTGGTAGATTGTTAAGTGAAGCGTGGGTAAAAGCAGCCACTCCAAGCAATGGGATATCAGGGTTCCATGCCACAGGCATTGTTCCATTTAATCCTCATGTCGTTCCTGACTCTGCCTTTCTAACAGATGTCCCACCTCAGGGAGAAAATTGCCAACCAGCTCTTTCACATCCGCCACCCACAACACAGGCAGGGAATTTGCAGCCAAGTCCTTCACATCAGCCATCAACAACCAATAATGTTGCAGGAAATTCCGTTTCCTCTGGACCAGGGTGTTCAAATTTAGTTTTAATTGAGTTACCACAAGCGGCTAGATACAACAATAACAACTGCAGTGATCCGGTTCCAAATAACTCAAGTGATGATGCTATCACACCTGGCAAAATGTTGGATCAAATTTCTCCAGTACCCAATCTACCTCGCCTTGACGCGGCTCGCAAAAGGGCAAGAAACTTAGCCTCAGTTTTGAATACTGGGAATAACATTAAAATTTTGAAGGAAAAAATACAGGTAAAATGCAACAAAGAAGTGAATAAGAACAAGGTTAAACAAACCAAAAAAAGACCATAAAAAAGAAATTAGAAATGCTTCACATCCGATGAGGAAGAAGTCATCGATGATGATGATAATGACTACTGTGTAGGATGCAGTGAAGAGTACAAGGCCACTAAGAAAAGTGATGACTGGATTAAGTGTGTAAGATGTGAGCGCTGGTTGCACGAAGATTGCACGAAATATGGAAACTACTGTGATGCCTGTGGAAAATTTGTGCTCAAACGCAAGAAAATGTGATGTAATGGTGTCAAAGTCCATGTTTCTCGAGTCACCATCTCACCCACATATCATTCTCCAACTAGTAGTATGGGTGAGATGGTGAATAATATATTTTTTTTATTATGTAATATTTACTTTCCTAAACCAAATATAGTTTCGTTTATATTATTATCTTTTAAGTTTATCCATATATAATTCCTTGTTCAGGTTTGTTGAAATACATTTTTACGAAAAAATACAGCCATTTTAAGTTTTGTTCACCATCTCCCCCCAAGTTACCCTAATTAGTTGCCAACAATATAAACTCTCTTGAATTATGTTTTAATAATGAAAATAACCGTAATATTAGTCAACTTTGCTTGATTATTTTCTAAAATACTTTTGGCGAATAATTGTAAACACATTTTATACTTATTGTACTGCCTTGACGTATTCTGGAATATGAAAGATTTAAAAAAGATACAATTTACATTTTATGAATTAAAATGAACTTTTCTGAAGCACAGACTTCTTGACAGACATATGATTGAAATCTGAAATCGAAACTACGATTTCCGAAATAAAGCTAAATATGATAAAATCTGAAAAAGGTGTAGGCTAAGATCTGAAAAAATGTAAATTATCGATTAAAGTTAAGTACAAAGTAATAAAAACAAAATAAAAAAAATAGTGTATAGATGACGGGTTAAAGGTTTTGTAGTTTTACTTCAACCACAAAATAATGTCTTTTTTCGTTTAAATACAACAAGAAACAATGTTTGTATTTTGAATTTAACGAAAAGGGAGTTTAAGTCAATGTATCTGTATATTGTAACCTAATTACCTCGGAAGGGCACATTTTTCAACATTTTCTTAACTTACCATATACAAATTGTAACAATAATTCCAAGATCACTGCTCTTAACAACATGTTTTTGAAGTAACTGAAATTATTTTTAGGTTCCTTATATCAAGCATAATCTGTAAACACTTACGAGAAATGTTTTGTAAACAAGGCAAAAGTATACATGAAGGTAAGTAAAAAAATAACTATTTTATATGTCCACAAAAGCTACCAAACGTCACGTTACTGTCCAAAGGTAAGACGACATTCACCTGTTCACCTATCAAAAATAAATTCACCTTCTTTTGTGCATTACTTTACATTCTATTTTTTTCAATTTTAGATTGATTTATTTTATAAATCAACTTATTTTGACCGATATTTTATTTTGAACATTAACACGTTGACTGCGAGATAATCTCAATGTACTTTGTCCGTGACTGCGATACATATCTTCGGGGATATGTAACAAAACTTCTTCTGTGTGCGGTACATATTCCTGGGGATATGTAATTTTTTTTACATTTGACACTATAAAATTAAAAATAATGCAATTATTGCTATAAACTTGCATGTATCTGTAACTATATATCCTAGGATACTAACGATTTCATTCGCAAAGAGTTTTGAAAAGAAAATAGTAGAAAAATAATTATTTCTAAAAACTACAGATACTGCAACTTCCACAAGATACAGTAAAAATGTGATTATTGAGATTCGCATATTTTTTATAATGAGTACATACCCCCCCAAGGTATGTACCGCAGTCAACGTGTTAAATATGGGATCTAAGCAAAATAAATAAAAGAAAATTATCGGCAACAGAGACGGACTTCCTCAAAAGAAGCTGCAGGCGAACCAGACCCGAAAAAGTAAAAAAATCAATTATTAGAAGGAATGTGAACATCGAGAAGGATATTACAGATGAAGTTGAAAAGATACAATTGACATACTCGTAGTTGGGACATACTAGTATAAAGAGAGTACATGAAGAAAGATGTCCATGAAATATATTAGAATACCGCTAGAGAGAAGAAAGACGGGAAGACTGAGAAAAAGCTGGAGAGAGGACGTTAATGAAGCGAATAGTTGCGTAAATGATAAGACCAATGCTCACAAAACACTTTTATCTAATTTTACCGCCTCTAGGGCGAACGTCGGCCAGCGCCTGTAATTCAAGGTCAAGGTCATGGTCATTTTCAAGGTCATATCAAGATAGGCCTCTTTACCCTGCAACTTTTTTATAAAACATTTTTTTTTAAAGTGATCCCAACAAGGTAGTACGTTGTCTCAAAATTCTTGTTTTTTTTTTTGTTTTTTGTGACCATTTTAGCGTCAAAATATGAGTTAAATCGAAAAAATAATAAGAACAAAAAGTTTTTTTCTTTCGTTTTTCAATAGTAATCCGTGGTAAAATATTGCTGTTTCCATTTTAAAAAATCAATTTCCGGTCTAAAAACACCACATCTGGTCTAGACCGGAAGTCGTAATATGATGGATCTTTCAATGGCCCCCTTGGCGCCATACAATTTTTGTCTGAAACTTGTTTCGGAATAATCGAGCCTAACCGAGATATTATTTTGTCTCAAGATAAATGTAACACCCGGTATAACAGAAGTTAAGAAAACAATAATTTCTTATTCATAAGGAAAGCGATTGTAGAAAATAATAAACAGTTGTTCTAAGTGTTCCTCGGTTAATCGTCTCCCGCGATCGGTAAGTACCCACTACCCATTGAAAAATCGAAAATGACCGAGGTCACAGGCGCATAATCTACCATAGTCGAAGTTTTTAATATAAGCCAAACAATTATATGTACATGTCTGTCTCTGATCTGAAACTTCGCATCGATCAATTTATTCTATACGGTACCCGGGTCTTTTGCTGAGGGGCGTTGGCCGTGTATTTCAGTGTCGTTTGTGTATAATAATTGTGTAGTGTTATATAGATTACTATTTTTTATTTATTTTATTGTCGTAGTTCCTGATGTCTAATTATGACAGAAGAAATTAGAAACCCATACGACCTAGCAACTTCTAACCCCGATATTTCAAGAACCACTGGAAATTCGAGAAAAGTGAATAGAACCATTTTTGCTTCAAACTCCTCATAAAATACGAGGTATCTAGGATACCTCGGTGGCCACCCTGTATATATATCTTTAAAGTTTTACTAATTTAAAAAAATAAAAAAATTTTTTCTAACATAAAAAAAATGCATTGATAAAAATGTTCAGTAAAACGCGTCGATAGAAACTATTTTTAAATCGAAAATCGACAAAAAAGCAAAATGTAGGCTTGAAAATTATATAAATTTTATTTTCAACTATCTGTACCAGATTATATTTTACAATATTTAGAGTTAAAATAGAATTTTTTTAATAGTTTATTTAGATTAAAATGTTAAGTTTATTTTCACAGTATATTCATTTAAAATGATGACGTATGTGTATTAAATATTATTAAATATATGAGACTCCCTTCCTTTATTGCTATTAGTAACATGTATATCCTAATGAGTACCTAATTAAGAGAAATTCACTGCAGCTTATGTTTCAACAAAAATGGATTTTAGTTTCGCATTTCTTTTTCTTGAAACTTCATCGACCAGCATCCATCTATCGCTGTCGTCATTTTGTTCTTCAGTAAATTCTGCTGCACCCTCTTTATCGGACAAAACTACGTCTGTGCCTTCGACTTTCAGAGAAGTGTTACCGCTAATGTCCAAATTCCATAATTTGTACTCTTTACCCTCTTTTAGAAACGATAGAATTCCTCTAAAAACAAAAATAATATTTTAATGTAATACAAAGCAGCAATTGAAATAATATTTGCTCTCAGTTAAAACCCAATGATACAACAGGTAAAAGCAGCTTACTCATTTGCAACATTGCGGATGAGGTAATGCTCAAATCCGTCCGCTTCCAATGTCCACAATTGCGAATTCTTATTTTCCCATTCTCTCATTTTGAGGAACCGGTTTGGCACATCTAGCACCCTTCCTGTCTTTTTATTCTGTATCACAAATATCTCTTGGTGGTCTTCAATATATATAGGTTTTGGTTTCGCATTAACTTCAAGTTCTTCTTCGATCAAGAGCCATTTGTCGCTTTCATCATTTTCCTTATGATCAAGACATGCTACATTGCCATTTACGTCGGCTAAGATCACATTGGCGTTTTCAATATGGATCCTTGTGTCACTCTTGGTATTCAATTTCCATAAATCGAAGTCTGTGTCGTTTTTGGAATACGTCAGAGCTTTTCTAAAAACGCAAAATCTAACATTAACGTAAATAAATATATTAAACTAGATAACTTCGGATGAATAGATAATTTCATGCACATATTATTTGGAAGAGGAAAATGTTATGAATTTGGTGTTAGGTGTTAGGAACAAAATAGAAATGACATAGGAAGGAATAGCTTACCCACTAGCAACGTTGACGACGAAATATCCCGACTTGTCTTGTGGCTTTAAAGTCCACATCTGCGAAATTCTGTACCTCCATTCCCCCATTCTAATAGCGTCTTCTGCTTCCTCCAAGACCATGCTTGTTTTCTTGTTCTTTATTAAAAACTTCATATTAGCTTTCTTGGACCGTTCAGTAAATAACCATTTGTCATTCTGTTCAGTAGATTCTCCATAAATACACATAAGAGAATTGTTCTCCTGTGTTAAGAGAGTATTAGGATAATCCATTCGTATTTGCGTGTCACCCTTAATGTTCAACTTCCATATATTTTGGGATATGTCATCATCATCAAGGCAAAATATATCAACTCTGGAAAGTATCTCGGATAATTATAAGTAATGACAAATGCATGAGGATAGTTAAAAAAATAAGAGCAAATTTAATATTCTGAGTCAGACAGTTGTCTAGTCAGTGTTGTTGAAATACTAATTAATTGTTAATTGGTGCGCAAATAAAATGTGTTTGCTGTCCCGTTAATTCGTGATGTCATAATTATGTATTTGCAATTAATTTGTAGCAATAAAGAATTAATTTTTGTGGTTATAGACTACAAATCTATGTAGGTCTAAAAGAAATTAAATTTTCCTGCAATTTGCCTATTATACAGCAGAATACATCCTGCAATCACTACTTTTTAGTAAAGTATATTAAGTAGTTAATATTTAATAGTGACTGCTTATAAAACAAGAAGGAGGTCTAAACGGTTTGTGCACTGAATTGTATTTCAATAATTAGGCTGACAGGCTGACAAAAAAAATTGTGTGTTTTTGAGACGTGATCCTACCTATTTTTAGTAAAATTTTCCGCTGAATCCGAAAACGATAAAAAAAATTCTGACATAGTCACGATGTAATCCTAGTTTTATAGAAATAATGTAGGACTGTATTTAATAGAAAAACGTTTCATAAATGTAAATATTTAACAAGTGTGACCTTTATTCCTGTGTGAAATCTGATTCTCTCCATACCTCTGGACATACCGTATCTTCGCTGTAGCTGCCTGAGTAGTGGCGTTTCTGCACTGTAAACAGAAACCGACGCACTTCTTACCACAAAACTATTTAATTCACTTTGATACTGTTTAATATTTCCTAATCATATTTAGCCCAAAAATTTTAGGTAATTTGGAAACATTAACACACATTGCACTAACTTCAGAAAGGCACGCTTTTCTGTGCCTCTAACTAGAAATGCACAGGCACCAGTTCTAAAACATTCTTCAAAGACTGAAAGATATGATCAGAAGAAGAATGTCTCTGGACCAAAATTTTCAATTTCGAAATATAGCAGAGTTGAGCAACAGTCTGATGATGTACCTTTTCAATAATGTAAAAAACGTTATTAGATTTGTTCTTTGCGATGCTTCTTGCAAAGTGCGTTCGGACTTTATTTATTTTAGATAATGTTCCAAAGTAGACACATTTACATCTTTCAAGAGGAAGATTGAAGCTGTACTGGACAGTGTACCTAACAGATTATTCTCCAAGAGAAGCTGCTGTAGCAGCGTGGCTAGAACAGTGCACCTTGTCGTTCTATTAAAAATTGTGCATAATACGAGGGTGGTCTGAAAAGTTTCCGACCTCAACATGAAGATGGCAGCACTCATAAATAAAAGCTAGTGAATTTCGTTGTTCATCTGTTGACAGTTACTCACCAAAGTTTCAGCCATTTTGGACGCGCAGTTGTTATGTAACAGTCGTTTGAGTGAGTTGATGTGAGTGTTTTTATGAAAATGGACAAAATCGAGTATCGAGCTGTCATTAAATATTTGTTTTTGAAAGGCAATACGCCTACGCAAATCAAAGATGAGTTGGATTCTGTGTATGGGGACTCTGCACCATCATTTACCACAGTGAAATTTTGGGCAGCTGAATTTAAACGTGGCCGTAAGAGCTTGGGAGACGATGAACGTTCGGGACGTCCAAAAACTGCAACTACCGACGAAAACATCGCCAAAGTTCACCAAATGGTGCTAGACGACCGCCGAATTAAAGTGAGAGAGATAGCAGAGGTTATGAACATGTCAAAAGAACGTGTTTGTCACATATTAAATCAACATTTAAACATGAGAAAGCTGTCCGCGCGTTGGGTGCCGCGTTTGCTCACGTTAGACCAAAAACGTGTTCGAATGAACATTTCCAACGCTCTGTTGGCGCAGTTTAGGCGCAATAAATCCGAGTTTTGGCGCCGATTAATTACTGTAGATGAAACTTGGATACACCATTATACGCCCGAAACAAAAATACAGTCCAAACAGTGGACTGCAAAGGGGGAACCGGCTCCAAAAAAAGCAAAAACTGTTTTTTCGGCTGGGAAAGTGATGGCGACTGTTTTTTGGGATAGTCATGGAGTTATTTTAATCGATTATCTTCAAAAAGGAAAAACCATTACAGGAGCATACTACGCATCATTACTTGACAAGCTGAAGGCAGAACTTGCGGAAAAACGGCCACATTTGCAGAAAAAGAAAAGCCTGTTTCACCAAGACAACGCACCGTCTCACACCTCAGCGGTTGCCATGCCAAAAATCCACGAATTACGGTTTGAACTGCTTGACCATCCGTCTTACTCACCAGATCTAGCCCCAAGCGACTTCTTTTTGTTTCCTCATCTAAAAATTGCGCTCGGAGGACAGACATTTTCGTCAAATTAAGAGGCAATCACCTTCGTGAACAATTATTTTGCAGAGAAAAACGCCGAGTACTATTTGGACGGGTCACAGAGATGGGAGCATCGCTGGGAGAAGTGTGTAGAGTTACAAGGAGACTATGTTGAAAAATAAAAAAAAATCTGAAAAAATGTCTTGTATCTTTGTTAGGTCGGAAACTTTTCAGACCACCCTCGTACATTGGAGTCGCACCCGAAATGTGTTCCTTTCATGAGGTATCTATTTTCAGTTCGTTATTATTCTTTGAAATAAATGTATTAGTAATTGAAAAGCAGTGGCAAATTATTTAATTATTTTCTTTAAATTAGGACAGGGCGACAAAATAAAGAAGAAAAAATAATTTACCCAGTTGCTAAGTTGCGAATAATGGAATGTCCAGATTTATTTTGTGGTTCCAAAGTCCATAGCTGGGAGTCTTTATTTTGCCATTCCTCAAAAGTGTACTGTTCTTCTTGTGTCAATATCATTCCCGTATTCACATTTTCTATAACGTATTCGTATTTGTCTTGACCATCCTCAACATAAATTCTCTTATCCGTATTAGATTCTTGTTCGACCAATGACCACATGTCACTTCCATCGTAAAGCTTATATGCATTGTAAACCGGTTTACCGCTCTTACTGATAAGAAAAATGTTGCGACCTTCAACCTGTATAAATGTTTTTCCTTGGGTGCTCAGCGACCATATTTGAAAATCCTCGCCGTTTTCGGAATACGTCAAAGTTCCCCTTAAAATGCAAAATCAAGAATAAGCACAGATGAAAGTTATTAACGATTATGAGAAGTTCTGTTTAAGTAATTCTCAACTCACCCACTTTGAACGTTGACAATGGCATATCCTGAAGTATCGTGCGAATCCAAAGCCCACAGTTGACTATCTCTATTTGCCCACTTGCCCATTTTTAGAGTCCCTTCTGATGATTCCTCCAGTACAGTTCGTGTCATTTTATTCTCTATCATAAACTTCTGCTGGTAGCTTTCAACGTAAATAGGTTTTCTTTTTACGTTGGTTTTTATGGAATCTCGTTCAATCAACTTCCATCTGTCGCTTTCATCGTCCTGTATGTATTTAATATATACTGGTTTACCGTTCTTGTTGGCCAGATTAACATTAGGATCTTCCACTTGGATCATCGTATATCCACGGGTGTGCAGTGTCCACACTTGGTTCTCTACGCCGTTTTCAGAGAAGGTTAACGCATTTCTAGAAATGTATAATAATAAAATAAGACAGTAAAGGAACCATCAAATTTGTTTCATCCTCTACAGTTACCCCTAGAGTTAAAAAAAATGAATAATAGTATTGTAATAGCTTACCCGGTAACGGCGTTGATGATGGAATATCCGGATTTACCTTGTGGTTCCAAGGTCCATAATTGCCTCTCTCTGTATTGCCACGCTCCTATTTTAAGAGCTTCTTCTGCTTCTTCTAAAACTGTTCCAGTTTTCTTGTTTTTTATCACAAACTTCGTGTTAACCTTTCTGGACTGTTGGATGAACAGCCATCTGTCATTGTCATGACTTGTTTTATTATACGTACACAGTAGGCGAACATTTTTTGACGTCAGAAAGATATTGGGATGTTTAACTTCAATCCGCGTTTCGCCATGGGAGTTCAGTTGCCATATGTTATTGCCATTACACGTTATCCTATATCTAAAATGCATGATAATGTTTCTTAAAGTTGGGAACTATTAAACTGATATTAAAAAAAATTAAGATACATATGTACATTCAGGATTTAAGAAAATTCGATTTTTCGTGTATTTTCATATACAGGGTGACCCATTAAGAATGAAAACACTAGCGTACAAAAGTTGTTTATGACCGATTTGATCCGTCTTTTTTTTTAAAGATAGATCTCCAAAAGCTCTATCTTGATGCAAAATTTGAAGACGAAATATTGATTTTCAAGGACTACTACGAATTTTTTTTAAGTGAAAACTAGCAAAATTTTGTTAGCGATTTTTTTATAAAAAATCTGACTACACCACTGGATTTAGGAACCCCTCAAATGCATTTGTACCAATTTTTGCGAAAAAAGTTTGCCCCTTAAAAAGTTATGACAATATCGGCATCACCAGTGTTTGCCGTTGTCGGTGAACCTATTCTTTTAAAGGGAAACAAAATTAAATAACAAACACTGGTTTAATCATTATTAATAAGAATCATAAAAACTAGTATACGTAAAATAAACAACAAGTTCGTCAAATTATTATTATTTCGTGGTTATTATGCCAAAACTTAAAAATATTACCTTCTTAGACAAAAATAATAACATTTATAATTTTTTTTATTTTAAAGGCACTGGATTCTACAACCATAATCCAATTATTTGTGAAGAATTTTCTGAAAAAAATATTACGAGATATTCCAGAAAATAACGTTGCCTAAAAATGATATGAACAAAATTTTATAGGCTGTGAAAAATAGAAGTTTAGACAACAAATGTCAAACTTCACAAGTAGTGGCACAATGTAATATTTTTTGTGCATAGTTTAATAAGTTCCATAATTCTTTGCGATGGCTCAAAGTTTAACTTTACATGACAAAATTTAAATATTACTGGAGAAAATGATCGGACTGCAAAAGAGGCGTGTATAATTTTTAACAACAGACATCCAGATAGACCTATAATTACGCATAGCACAGTTTTTAAAATAAACAATACTTTTATGGAATATGGTGCTGTATCAAAATGCTTTTTAAAAAGGGACAATCAACAGAGAAGACGTATTCACGAGCAGGAAATTTTAAGTTATTTTACAAACAATCCTCATAATAGCCTCAGGATAGCTAGTTTAGATTTAAATTTACCTAGAGATAGTATCCGACGCTGCCTAAAAAAAAAATAACACAAAACCCTATAAACCTAAGTTTCTCCACACTGTGGAACCAGGCAATAATGAGAATCGAATGGAGTTTTGTCTCTGGGCACAGGGACAATATCTCAATTACCGATTTCTTTTAAAAAATATCTTATTCAGGACTAATGGAATTGTATCATCACAGAACTCGCGGTGTTGCGTTTCAGAAAATCCAGAGTGGATAATTAATTGCCGAAGACAATATAGCCAGAAAGTTAACGTTTGGTGTGGGATAACGAGAGAGTCATTGGTCCGATCCCCTTTGAAGCGAATATGAATGGCGAACAATTTCTACATTTCCTTCAGAACGAATTTTTTAATACAGTCGATAATCTTCCATTAAAAGAAAGAGCAAATCTACATTTTCAGTTGGATGGATGGCCAATACACAATGCGAGATAAGTCAGGGAGTGGCTTAACGAGAATTTCCCCAATCATTGGATAGGTCGAAACAGTCGATTAATTCATTGGCCACCCCGATCTCCGGACCTTACCCCACTTGATATTTTTCTGTGGGGCTTTATTAAGTCCAAAGTTTATAAGACACGGCCAAATAACCGGGAGGTTGTGCACTAGAATAAGGGAGCGTGTGAGGAGATTAACGCGCATCAATTACGAAATGTTGTAAAAAATATAAAAATTTTTTATGAAAAATGTATAGAATTAAACGGAGGATTAGTGGAAGCTACAAAAATTTAAATTTAATTTTTAATCATTACTTTTTTATCAATTGTTGTTTAAATAAGAGTAATTGTTGTTTATTTTGTGTATTCTGGTTTTTATGATTCTTATTAATAATTATTAAACCAGTGTTTGTTATTTAATTTTGTTTCCCTGTGGGTTTTATTCGGTTTTTATAAAAGAATAGGTTCACCGACAACGGCAAACACTGGCGATGCCGGTATTGTCATAACTTTTTTACGGGCAAACTTTTTTTTGCAAAAATTGGTACAAATGCATTTGAGGGGTTCCTAAATCCAGTGATGTAGTCAGATTTTTTATAAAAAAATCGCTAACAAAATTTTGCTACTTTTCACTTAAAAAAAAATTCGTAGTAGGCCTTGAAAACCAAAATTTCGTCTTCAAATTTTGCAGCAAGATAGAGCTTTTGGAGATCTATATTAAAAAAAAACGGTTCAAATCGGTCCATAAACAACTTTTGTACGCGAGTGTTTCCATTCTTAATGGGTCACCCTGTATATGTATACAGTGTGTCGCTTAAGTTCTATACAAATGGGTAACTTTTTTATTATCAATTTGACGAGAAAAAGGTATTCTTTATAAAAAGTTATGCTTTTTGAAGAAATGTTATTAAACTTTTAAAAAAAAATCAAATTTGACACGGGAGAAGTACAATTAATTTTTATTGTAGAGAAAAATGTAATGGGAAAATGTTACTTAGAATTAAAATTTAAGTCTAAATTTAGTTTCATAACGTCCTCTTTTTATTATCAATTTGACGAAAAAAAAATATTCTTTGCAAGTTCCGTTTTTGAAAAAATGGTATTAAATATTTCACATTCGAGACAGTATATGGTGGCCAAAAATTAAAAATCAAACTTAGAACGTGATTATGACAAGATAAAGTAATTTATGCCAAAACGAACTGTGAAAACTGCAGGTTTCTAACTCTTACGGTTTAGAGGCTATCTAGCCTCATTTAGAGAGCTGACATCGTGATTTTTTTTCAAAAACAACTAATTATCTCGAAAACGGTAAGTTTTAAACACCATGTACATTTAATAAACTCTACCTAATATTAACCAAGGAATTCAAAAACGCAATAATATTACAGGGTGTTCCATTTAAAATAACAAAGTTATGTAGCGCACACGCGAANGCCGTGCAGAAGTGTATTTTTAAATCAATTTCGAACTGACCTTTTTGATTTTTTCTTTACAAAATTGTATTTGTAAGGGTCCCCTGTACATCCAGAATTTTTATTTTTTTTGGATAAGTTCTGAATCACCCTGTATGTATACAGTGTGTCGCTTAAGTTCTATACAAATGGGTAACTTTTTTATTATCAATTTGACGAGAAAAAGGTATTCTTTATAAAAAGTTCTGCTTTTTGAAAAAATATTATTAAACTAAAAAAAAAATTAAATTTGACACGGGAGAAGTACAATTAATTTTTATTTTAGAGAAAAATGTAATGGGAAAATGTTACTTAGAATTACAATTTAAGTCTAAATTTAGTTTCATAACGTCCTCTTTTTATTATTAATTTGACGAAAAAAAAAATTCTTTATAAGTTCCGTTTTTGAAAAAAAAGGTATTAAATATTTCACATTTGAGACAGTATATGGTGGCCAAAAATTAAAAATCAAACTTAGAACGTGATTATGACAAGATAGAGTAATTTATGGCAAAACGAACTGTGAAAACTGCAGGTTTCTAACAATTCTAACTCTTAGGGTTTAGACGCTATCTAACCTCATTTAGAAAGCTGAGATCGTGATTTTTTTCAAAAACAACTGATTATCTCGAAAACGGTAAGTTTTAAACACCATGTACATTTAATAAACTCTACCTAATATTAACCAAGGAATTCAAAAACGCAATAATATACAGGGTGTTCCGTTTAAAATAACAAAGTTATGTAGCGCCCACGCAAAATAAAACACCCTGTAAAGCTTCTTTACATGACCCACGTGATTCCAGACAACTTTCATTAAAACCATTTTTTTTATAAATTTGACAGTTGCAGAGTTACAGAAGAATCCATCTAAGGTGGAACATCCTGTACATAATCGGAACTTACCCAGTTGCGACGTTGACAATGAAATAACCAGACCTCCCTTTTGGTTCCAAAGTCCACAGCTGCGAGTTTGTATTCCTCCATCTGGTCATTTGAAGTTCGTCACCACCCTCATCTATCACCAACCCTGTCCTAACGCTTTCTATTACAAATTTCATGTTTATCTTCTGAGATTGTTCGATAAATAACCATATGTCACTTTCACCATCCTGCTCAGACTTGTAGCACAGCATGAGGTTATATCTCTGATCCAAAAAAAATGTAGAATGTTCAGAGGTAATCCTGGTATACTCTTTTGTATTTATGGTCCATAGATCGTAGCTTGTGTCATTGCCTGAGCATGTTATGCACAACCTGGATGCGACGCATAGCAGGGTTATAATTATTATAAAACTGACTGTGACTAAATAAAGGCGATATAAAAAATGACTTACCTACTTCCGAAGTTGCAAATCATAAAATATTTAGATTTGTTTTGTGATTCCAAAGTCCAGAGTTGAGAGTCCCTGTTACGCCAGTGGGCTAACAAATAGACACCTTCTATATGATCCAAGACCCTGCCTGTCTGCTTGTTTTCTATTACATATTTTTCTCGATAACCTCCAAAGTGGACATGAGAAGATTTTTAAGTTTGATTAGTTTTTATCATAGCCGAAGAAGTTGGAAAAGATAGAGGTAGCACAGACTGCGGTTTATCTGCACAAAGGCTGTCGTTTTTCGCATATGGTTGGCTTAGATGGGGAAATTATCATTGCCAAACAGACTAAACTTGTAGTATAGACTGCACAGGGTGGGCAAATAAGCGAGGTAAGCGGATGTAACTCAGAAACTAATGATCGTAGAGAGCTACGGTAAAAAATTTTATAGGTAAAGTGGGCAAGGGAAAATGCTGGAAATTATTTTCAAGTTTCCAAGATGGCCGCCAGTGGGCGTTTCCACCATCTTGAATTACATAAAGTTACGTTTCTCGCGATTTTCCCCAATGAATGTAACAAAAAAGTATTTGCGTTTTAATGTTAACTTAAAGTCGAACATTTTTTGTAAAAACAATTTTTCTCTATCTTTCGAAATAAAGTGGTGGGGGGTATTTGAATGTTGTTTTAAATAAATGCCTGTAACTTCGAAACGGCTTAATGGATTTGGATAAATTTGGTATCATTGAAAAGAGCATTTCTTGGGCTTTTAGGTTTCTCGTAATCATGACAGTTGCGACCTACACGGCCGCCGATAGAGGGCGTTATTCGATATTATAACCAAAATATTGGATTTTCTCAAAAAATTTAAATGCGATGATATGACTTTTTTTAGACTAGAAAATAGACAAATGACCAACCAATAAGCCTGCGCAAACCGCATCTTAATATCTTTTTCCTAACTCAAATTATTAAAAAAAAATACTAAACCAGGAAAATTCATATATCCCCATTTAAAAATGCATCGGTTGCTTTCGATAAGAAGGCAAGTAGTAGGCCATGGAAATAAAAGACAAACTCCTCTCTAAAATATTCACAAGAAATGTCAGTTTATTTAGTGCTGTGATTTTAAGTCGCACGTTTTCGTATTTATAAGCGATTTTCCTTTTAAATAAAGTTGTGGTCCTGAAAAGGACCGATTTTGAAAAAAGATTAATGCCTTCTGTGTTCAAATTGCCTTCCGTCATATTCCACACATTGTTCCAGTCTTTCTTGAGTCGACAGAACCGCAGCCTCGATTTCTACCGCTGATAGTTGACGAATTGAGTTTCGAATTCTGTTTTCCATATCCATTCGTGTTGTTGGTGGAGTTTGAAAAACAATGTCTTTTAAGCGTCCCCACAAGTAAAAATCAAGACATGTCAAGTCCGGAGATCTTGCCGGCCAAGGAAATAGGCTTCCCCTTCCTATCCAGCGTTCTCGAAAGGTCCCGTTAATATGGTTTCGGACATTAATTGAATAATGTGCCGGACAACCATCTAATTGCAGAAACATAGTTCTCCTAGTTTCGAGTGGCACATCTTCCAACAAAATTGGCAAGTCGTTGATCAAAAACTCTAAGAAGCGGTTACCAGTTAAAGCTTGATCAAAAAAATAAGGTCCAATAATTCTGTCCCCAATGATACCGCACCACACATTTAGGCTCCAGCGTCCCTGGTGCTGCACTTCTCTTAACCAATGCGGATTTTCAGCGGACCAATAATGCATATTATGACGGTTTACTCTACCATCACTACTAAAGGTAGCCTCGTCGGTCCAGAGAATTTCCGTTAAGAAATTTCTGTTTTCCTCAAGCATGCCTAGCATCCATTGACAATAATTTAATCTATTATCGAAATCTTGTTCATTTAGCGCCTGGTGCAAAACTATGTGGTAAGGATGTAATCTAAAAGTAAAAAACAACATATGCGTAAAAATAATATAATCAGAATAACACTGAATTGTGTATTTGAGAGTATGTGCTAAGATACTTGGAATAAGATAAAATTATTTACCTATAATCTTTCAAAATATTTCTAACAGTTGTTCGTGCTATTCCCAAGTCTAGAGACAATGTTCTAGTTCCTACATGTCTATCAAATTCTATGTAAGCCAAGACATTGATAATGTTTTCTTCGGTCCTTCCATTGCGACGCCTGCGACGTTTAGGACGACGAAAACTTCCAGTATCGCGTAATCGCTGTACCAAGCGCGGAAACATTCTTCTCCCGTAATGACGGCGATCTGGATACCGTGCCGCGTACTGTCTTGCAGCTATAGCTGCATTTTGAAAACACTCGAAATAAATCGCAATCATGTCAACGGCTTCATTATTTGTGAGAGGCATTTTGATTAAAAAGTACTCAAATTATACGCAATCAACAATATTAGGCTGCGTGTGACAAAAGTTTGACGTTACTTGGCAATATTTTTGTTAGGCGATTGTCGTGTCCATGGCCTACTACTTGCCTTCTTATCGAAAGCAACCGATGCATTTTTAAATGGGGATATATGAATTTTCCTGGTTTAGTATTTTTTTAAATAATTTGAGTTAGGAAAAAGATATTAAGATGCGGTTTGCGCAGGCTTATTGGTTGGTCATTTGTCTATTTTCTAGTCTAAAAAAAGTCATATCATCGCATTTAAATTTTTTGAGAAAATCCAATATTTTGGTTATAATATCGAATAACGCCCTCTATCGGCGGCCGTGTAGGTCGCAACTGTCATGATTACGAGAAACCTAAAAGCCCAAGAAATGCTCTTTTCAATGATACCAAATTTATCCAAATCCATTAAGCCGTTTCGAAGTTACAGGCATTTATTTAAAACAACATTCAAATACCCCCCACCACTTTATTTCGAAAGATAGAGAAAAATTGTTTTTACAAAAAATATTCGACTTTAAGTTAACATTAAAACGCAAATACTTTTTTGTTACATTCATTGGGGAAAATCGCGAGAAACGTAACTTTATGTAATTCAAGATGGTGGAAACGCCCACTGGCGGCCATCTTGGAAACTTGAAAATAATTTCCAGCATTTTCCCTTGCCCACTTTACCTATAAAATTGTTTACCGTAGCTCTCTACGATCATTAGTTTCTGAGATACAGCCGCTTACCTCGCTTATTTGCCCACCCTGTACAAATGAGCGTTTCAACTACAAAATAGCGAATGATTTATTAGTTTTTGGGGTGTTCAAATTAAGAACAGCCTTGTGTACAGGGTGATCCTTAAATATGTACATATATAAGTGAGTCTATGAAAGTAATTTTCAAAGTTTCCGCAAAGTGCATTTTGAGGACTGCTGTCTACATGTAAAGTTATTATTTTTACATATGTATCTAACTGTAATACATCTTGATAGAGTACAGTTTAAAAAAATTGTCAAATTAAATATGCAGCTTAGCTTATTTAAATTTAATAATAAAAAAAATCCGAAACTATTAGAAAGTTATCATTAAGCCTATATACTATCCCTCACACTGATATCAGACACTATCAGCGTTCCCTCCTAAATCACTAGTCCGGTCACTGAAGGCGAAAATAAGGTAAAAGCTCCCAATTTTTTCGGATAGTATGGATTTTCCTGAAAATTTGCATACAAGCTCATCTGACCTCCCACTTCAAAAGTTATATTGTCTAGATGTGTGATTTTTTCTATTTGGGGGTGAAAACTACCCTTGTACGGAAAAATTGCGAAAATCGCATATTTTAAAGATTCAATTCATGTTCAAATATGTTGGATAAAGTTCCTTTCATGTTTTTTAATATAATTTATGAAATTTAATTACTTTTCAACCATTAAAAATCCTTAAAAACTACCCTTTCATGCCAATAAAATAGAAAAAAAGTTTTTAAAAATTTAAAATATTCTTTTGGTGCATTCACAATGTATTGCATTTCTTTTGTTATTCATTAAAAAGCTTACGACTCATTACAAAGTTGCAACCCTTGCGTACATAGAATTTCTTGCTTGTTGCCAACCTAAATTCGAGGCCTCGGCCAATTTCCGACACATAGACATTAGACATTAGACATTGTTTATTGGTGTTAATCATACAAAAGTATTTACACAAGTCAGAATTGAGGAAAATAAAAGAAAACAAACAGGCAGATTAACAAAATAGAAACAAAAGGAGAACCAAAATATCGCGTACAGAACCACGTAAGAGAGTCGATTTACTATATAAAATAATTAAAATAATAAAACAGTAAAATCTACGTACTAAACATTATAACACATAACAGGGTCAAATAAAGTAAAAGCAGCAGGCTAATAACTAGACACATATACCTAATACAAATGCTGATAATAATTTAAAAAATAAACAAACAAAACATCAAATAAAGGACAAACTGTGATCCAAAATAAAACATCAGAAACTGTTTTATTCTAAATTTAAAAAAACCGAAATTTAAATTTCTTATATCTACTGGTAATGCGTTAAAAAATTTTATTCCCCAGAAGCCCGACCCATTTCTGTTTTTTTCAAGTCTAAGATACGGACTTTGTAAGACATCTTTGTTTCTGGTACCGTACGTATGTACATCGTTTCTGTTAGTATAAACTCCAATATGTATTTGTTTTTACATAAAGCAAACACTGTAAAATGTATATACAAGGAAGTGTTAAGATTCTGAGATCCATAAATTTCTCTCTACAGCAGTCTCTGTATTTAAGACCAGTTATTATTCTAATAGCTCTTCTTTGAACAGCAAAAACATCCGCAGCTGAAGCTGAATGACCCCAAATTAAGATAGCATAAGATAACAGGGAATGTACTAGACTGTGGTAGGCTGTAATCAGTGTTGATGACGATACTTGATTTTTTAGACTTCGAAGAACAAAAATGTTCTTGGAAATATTTTTACATAAATTACTTGCGTGATGGCTCCATGACAATTTAGCATCCAGATACACCCCTAAAAACTTTACTGGCTCCGGTTCATATGCGAAAGCAACTCTCAAGCTGAATATCAATGTCTCTGTCTTCGCGGAATTTAAATTTAATCTATTGGAAAGAAACCAATCCTTTAACATTGATTCAGCCAGGTTGGATTTATCAAGCAAATCATTAATTTCGCAACTTCGATTGGTAACACTCGTATCATCGGCAAACTGTATCGTCAACATAGAGTCATCCACTGAAAAGGGCAAATCATTAACATAAATCAAGAAGAGAATCGGACCAAGGATTGACCCCTGAGGTACTCCCATATCAACACCGAGACGAGTAGCTGTCATATTTTGATACAACACATACTGCTGCCTATTACTCAGATAAGACTGAATAAGACCAACACTATGCGCCGTAAAACCATAATAATACAATTTTTCAGCTAGGATGGTCCGTGACACACAATCAAAGGCTTTCGTAAGATCGAAGAACTGTGAACCTATATTCTTTTTGCTCAAAACCTGCGTTAATTTCGGTTACTAATTTGTCTATTGCTAGCGTTGTGGATAATTTAGCTCTAAATCCAAACTGGTTTACGCTGAAGAGATTTTTACTCTCAAAGAAATTCACGATTTGGTTTTTTATAACACTCTCAAAAACTTTAGCAAACATAGGCACTACCGAGATAGGTCTAAAGTTGGAGGGATCATTTGTACAACCTTTTTTGTGAATAGGAACGACATTAGATATTTTTGGGCAATCTGGGAAAATACTTTGAGAAATGCTGATATTAATAAGCGCTGTTAGAGGAATCAATATTAATTGTTTAATGTACTTCAATATTTGAGTGCTCATGTCAAAAGTATCTTTACTTTTTTTAGTTTTTAGATTGTCGATTATAGATCCGATTATTTCCTCAGAAATAATGAATCTAGTAAGTACATCAATATTGTTCATATAGTTAGAGTAAGATATGTTAGTGGGAGGCAGTGCATTAGTTAAATCAGTTGCAATGTTAACAAAGTAATCGTTAAATTCATTGGGCAATAATTGACTAACGGCTTTGTTTGATCTTGGTATTTTACTGTTTATTATTCTCCACATCGCTTCACCGGGATTATTGTGTGAGTTTATGTAATTGTCATGAGCCTGCTTTTTCTTCTCATGTAACTCCTTAATGTAACGATTTTTGAACATCTTATAAATCAAAGTATTATTTGCGGTGGGATGAGATCTTGAGTAGTCCCGTAAGAACTGCAAGTGCTCCCGCATGTCTCGAAGTTCATTGGAAAACCATTGCACCTCATAACTGTCAGTAGAACTAACTAATTTTGATTTACATATACATGTGAACTCAGATACGAGTACGTGTGTGCATGTATATTATTAAAATACTTACTCAAATCAGTTCACAAGTGCTCCAAAATACACAAAGATGATGGTAATTTACCCGCTCAGGAAAGGCAGTATTGAGCTTAGTTTTGAGTTTTTAACGGTCATAATTCAGTCAAATTTTGTCCTACAAAAATTAAAAACCTACAATTTCTTATTCTATAATTTTTTTTATAACTTTGTTAGTTTTTGAAATATTTTGAAAATAGGCGATTTTTTTTTAAAATTACAAATTTTATTCAAAAGTAAATTAAATATTTTTTTAAATTTAGGCTTCTAAAATCGTTCAAATTCCCAGAATTTACTGTTAGTACACAAAGTAAATTGCAGATGAAATACGTTTAATTTTTTTCCATCAAGTCATTAATTTTAATAACGATTTTTTTTCTCAAAAATCAATACAATCATTTTATTTTAGTTGTGACTTCATTAGTTTTCATGCTAACGACTTTTACCTCCACTCAATTTAAAAAGTTTTCCTCGAAAAACCTTTAATTTTTCCGCTACAGGACGCTGAACGTTTCGATTATAACTATCTTCGAAATTGACTTCAACTTCTGGGAGTCAACTCGGGTTCTATAACACCTACAAAAATAAAAAAAGCAATCTCCTTTCTATTTAATTACCTTCATTTTTGCTTATGATAATTTTTTTGATAAAACTTGTAGTTTTTGAGATATTCGCGAAAAATGGTTAAAAAACATGCATTTTTTGGGCTAAAAACGAACATGTTTAGGCGCAAATAATTCAAAAAGTATTGACTGTACAAAAAATTCTTATAGAACATTTTTTCTTAGAATTCGTCCCTCTATCGAATTGTGAGGTTATTTTTAATAACAAAATTCCCACCCTCCAGAAGAGGTGGGAATTTACCCTAGGGGTTTACCTTTAGGGTAAAAGCACACATCGGCACTATATAACTTTTGTTTCTCTAACTACAGTTCAAATTTCACGTCAATCCATTCCATCCGAAAAAATTGGTAGCCAAAATACTTCAGTGTCTGGACTAGAAAATAAATGTAATAGGTAACTGGAAATTAGTTTACCTAACTGTTTATTTAGGTTAATAGTAGAATAGTACCTATGTATTAAAATATACGGTGTGAGAGCCAAATTTTACACTGAGGCCAGGCCTCAGTAGCTTCATACGACGAATCACCACTGTTTTGCGGTAACCATAACTGAAAATCTATAAATCGATGGTATTCTTACATATGACCTAGATTTTTATTGAAGACTGTCACATACCACGAGAGTCGTCTATCACCAATCCTGTGCCAACGCTTTCTGTTACAGGTCTCCTGTTTAGCTGAGATTTTTTTATAAATGACCATATGTCGCTTTCATCATTCTGCTTAGACTTAGAACACAGCGCGATATTTTTTGACTGTTTCAAAAATATTGTAGAACTTTCGGCCATAATCCTAGTATAGTGGTATGTATTTATGGTCCATTCCGTGTTGGTTATGACATTGGGTAAGCATGTTAGGTCGCGCCTGGATATGATGCATAGCAGGGTTATAATTATGGTAAAACTGACTGTGATTAAATCAAAGACGATATAAAAGGTGACTTACCCAGTTTCGAAGTTGCGAATAACAAAATATCCAGATTCGTTTTGTGGTTCCAAAGTCCACAGTTGTGAGTCCTTGTAATTCCATTTGGCTAACAGAACGACGTCTTCAACATCTTCTAAGACCTCGCCTATCTGCTTGTTTTCTATTACATATTTTTCTTGATAACCTCCAAAACACATGAAAAGATTTTTTAGTTTGATTAGTTTTTATTATACGCGAAGCATTAGAAAATACAGAGGTAGCACAGACCACAATTTATTTGCACAAAAGCTGGCGTTTTCCGCGTATGGTTGACTTAGATGGAGAAGGTTATTTCAAGGTCAAACCGAGAAAAATGCCCTATGGTGGAGGCAACCGTGGTTATTATATGCTTTTGGGGTCGCTGAACCCGGATCTGAGGTCCGTTTGACCTTGTCAGGTCAGGTTAAAGGTCAATTCAAGATCAAACCGAGAAGCGAATCATTCTATACATCTCGTTTCGGAGCAGTTGTCATCGTTTCCAGTATCCTTCATGGTAGCAGGATTGTAAAGGCAGAGTCTTTCGGCCCATTTATAGATGAGCGTGGTAAAAATTGAAATTGTATTTTTGCCAACTAATAGGTATTAGGATTAAGTAACTTTAAAATAACATTGACCCTGATGCAACAAGATCAAATGGACTCCCAATAACGCGACCAAAAAAGCCTGGAGTATTCCCACTAAACCCCATTTAGAAGTTACTTAGTTTGACATTGATCTTGACCAGATAGAGACAAAAGGAACCCTAATTTGGATTCAGCGCCCTGAAAAAACATTTAATTACTTTGGCTGCCATCGCTATAGTGGATTTTTCTCAGTTTGACCTTGGAATGACCTTTAACCTGACCTAACAAGGTCAAACAGACCTGAGAATCAGTCTCCGACCCCAAAAACGTATAATAACCATGGTTGCCTCCACCATAGGGGATTTTTCCCGGTTTGACCTTGAAATGACCTTTATCCTGACCTGACAAGGTCAAACGGACTTTCGATTGGGACTCAGTGCCCTCGAAAACATAAGAATATAGTGGTCTTGTCCGATGCACAGATTTTTTTTTTGTGGTGCTGTGCTATCCAGGCTAAACTTGTATAACTTAGCTGTTCAACCATACAAATGAGCTGTTCAACTACAAAATCGCGAGTGGTGAGTGCGATAAGTGGAAAATTTCAGATAGTTCTTTCTAAAATTGATTTATTAGTTTTTGGGTGTTTAAATTAAGTACAGCCTTGTATACAGAGTGAACTTAAATGTGTACATACATGTAAATGAGTACAATGAAAGTGATTTTCAAATTATAAATATTTACGGAGATATTAATTGAGGGGTTAGAAGGGAAATGATTCAAGTGCACTTTTTACAAAGAATGAGTTAAGTGAATATTCTCATAGTTAAAAGCTATTAAAATTTGACAGTAAAAAGATTCAAGTTCATTTCACTATTCCACTGCCATCAATTAGTCAGTAGAAAAACATACCCAAATAAATCTTCATTTAATTTGGAAGTAAATGGATTCAAGTGCACTTGAACCCATTTCCTACTAACCATTCTGTATTCTGTCGTACCTAAATTCTATTGTGTGTACGGCGTACGGAGAGTTTTTTAAGTGTTTTCTTAATAATATTGTTTCATTTTTTAAATTTTCAATGGATAGTGATAGAGAAAGTGATGGTAAGTAAATAAAACCAAAATATTAACATAAGAGTGGGTTGTCCAAGTTCTGAAATGGAGAAGTATTCGTTGGTTTGGATACTTGAAATCTGAAAAACTTTCATTCAGATACAAAAATACCTTAGACAATGACTGAGTTTTCGATGTGTTTAATAGGAGCGTCAAAATTTGGCCGCCGTCCATCTTTCCAGCTGTCAGGTTTGGAACCCCTCAACAAAACTACATTAAAAATAAAAAATAAAAAATAATAGATTTCAATATATTATTATGAAATCTACCATGAAAAAAATCAGTGCGATTGTGGAAGATGCTCGGGATCGTCCAGACTAATAATTAGTTAATTTGTTTATAAGGCCATAACTTCAACTACCGATTCCAGATTTCGTGTGAGTTATTAGACAGTGATATGGAATGAGAGGATGTGATGTCAGAACGTTCTGGTAATAATAACGCAGTTTATAAATAAATAAATTGAAAAGTCATAAATAAACTTCTTCTGTTTATAACTTTTGATCTAATCAATATTTTTTGACGCTCGAGAGCTAGTTTTGTAGGTCTTTTAAAGACGAAAAAAAAAGTTCTTTATTGTTTTCTAGTGGAAATGAACGGAAAAAGTTATAAGCGAAAAACGTGAATTTACGTAAAAATTATACTATTAACCAGCCTGTAAACAATCTTCCCCCCATTTTTATGACTGTGGAAACTAATACGTTATTGTACATAATATTTAGCATCTATAGTAATAAATTCAGCCCACCGAAACAAAAAGTCGCGTCCAACTCTATATTTCCTGGCCTACAAAATTCTTTTATAAGAATCATTAATAACCATATTTTTGACCAAAATATGTTTAAGGTTCAATAAATTTGAGTGTTTTTTATTTTGTAATAATCTGTTTTCTGCCTGTATCGTTCCTAAGACTTAGATTTGAACAGAACCGCTTAGAATAATTGTCAAACGAAGCAGTCATAGCCTACTATGTTTTTTCTCTATGTCAGCACTGAGTTCCTCGAAAACGGTTAGTTGTATCAAAAAAATGTAAACAGCTAAAATTCAAGATCACTGCATCACTGATTAGATGGTGAAAATAAATTTTAAAATTTTTCACCGTAAATAGTTAATAAAATTTGAAAATATGGTGAGCATTTAACTCTTCATCAGCCAATATGTTGGAAATGGTCGGTTTGAAAGGTTTCGACAAAGAATACCTTTTTTGCTTAAAACTGATATGGGAATAAACGCACTGATACCAAATTTCAATGTACAGGGTAGCAAAAAAGTTAGGGCCAATTTAATTCAAGCGTACCCTTATAGGTGGCGCTCTCTAAAAACAGCGTCAAAAGCAATGACATATTTATACTTAGCATCCTAAAAAAAATCCGTGCCCACATTCAAATCTATTTGGAAATTACACCTAAAAATTGCAAAAAATAAAAAATGTTAACACCCTGTATATCCCACGTTTATAGGAAAAAAGACTTCTTTTGACCACGCACCTAAAATATGCACCTAAATTATTTGTACTGAAGTTTGAATCAGCCTGAATATCTTCCTTCTAAATACCACAGAGAAGCATTTTTTTTCAGCACTTACCATATATAAATTGTACAAATAATTCCAAGATCACTGCTTTTAGCAACATGTTTTTGAGACAACTGAAACTATTTTTAGGTTGGCATACATATTTTGAATGGCGACGTTTGATAACCCTTTCTTATGTCAAGCATAATTTGTAAATAAAAGGAGAGACCACAAGGCAAAAGAATACAAGGAGGTAAATAATAATTTAAGGGTTTGTATGTATGTGTTTAAAGGTTACTAAACTTCACGGTACTGTCCAAAGGTAATACGACATTGCCATCAAAGGGTTTTGGATACCTATCACTCTTCACCTTTCAAGAATACACTAACAGTGTAGGTCACAAGAAGAGACTAGGACTCCTTTTTTCCTGATCGGCATTTTATCAACCTTGTCGGTGTTAAAAATGAATACAACTGGAAATATATTTCCTAGATTTATTTTATATTATTAAGGCCTACGGAAATTGAAACAATCAAAAGTAAAATAGATTCTACTTACAATTTTATAAACAACTAAAATACAGAAATGCAAAAATAATATACAAACAGTGTGAAAGATTAAATAAAATTGGTTGGAGCAATTATTTATTACGGAATTACAAATACGTATTCGATGTTTTCGGTGCTGTAAACAAATATAAAATTAGATCATAGTCAAATATCGGGAATCAGGACACAAAATCGTACGGTAAACAAATTCAGTATTAGACGTTTGGTTTATTTTACAATAAACAATTTAATACTCAGAAACGGTACGCCATAAACAATTATTCGGTTTTAATTTCGGTCGGTGCTAGAAATAAAAAGGTTTAACAAATCAGAGTAGTTAATAATCAACAAATATACCTGGTCCAAATGGCTCTGAAACAAAGAAAAATGATTAATTACGGGCTACTCTAATTCTACAAATAAAATTAGTCTGTGGTTTCTAGCAAAGCAACGGAAATTAAGCGGAGTTTCAACCAGCCAAGGAGAAAGCGAAGCAATGCAATGCACAACGAGCATAAATAAGCAAACGGCAATCAGGAAAAAGGAATTGTTTGGCTAACAGGAGGCAAAGTCTGTTCGAGGTGGAAGCGGTCAACATACAACGTCTTCCACTGGCAGTGGGATACCCAACCAAACCAGCAGTTGCTGGGTATCCCGGATGATTGATCTCGACTGCTAACTCCTTGGGTTCGGATGGCGGGTCTTTGGTGGGGTCCTCGGAGTGGTTCTGGAACTCTTCGAGTTCTGGCAACGAACTAAGGAGTTTTGGGCAGGAAAAACAGTTTTGTTGCCTCGATCCCCTCCTGACTAGCAGGGGTCGTGGTGGGATCTTGCGCGCGGCACTCGTCATAGTGGGGTAAACGGACGGTTTTAATCACAGAGCACCTAGAGTGTACATTTCCTATCCCAAAGTATGGGAACCGATGAAGCCAAATTGCGGGGAAGTGGAGTGTGTGAGGTAATCCGACCGCGCATATTTTGATCAGGTCCGGGTTAAAGAGTATTTTTACACTTACGACAAATATTCATTTTTCAAGTTTGGAATTCAGAAAATAATTATTTTAATGTTTTGTTTAAATAAACCTACAAAATAATTTAAATATATTTATTGTCCTCTAAGTAATGTTAGTTTATTTGATATTTGTCTTTTAGTAGATTTTAATGATTTAAATATTTTAACTTCATATACTTTTCACATACAGTCCTCGCAAGTTCTTATCCATATTTTTTAAATAAATTCACATTAAAACAGTTTTTTAATACATGATACACAATTTTATTTTTCTGTAGCTTGGGTGTACTGTTTTTATAGGAGTTATTAAACAAATATATTATTATTTCTATTTCTTAAATTGTCATTTTTCTTTTTTAACGACGGTTTGCTAATCACTCCTGGCAAATTTAAAATTGGCACTGCATTTTTGGATAAAATTCTAGCGCCGTTTTTATTAATAATAATAAACTTCTCTTGGAAATGTAAAAAACATATAACAGACGATTTTGAAGGTGCCTTATCTTTTTTTATGGCTTTGACCCTTTCCAATTTCATTTCCACCCTCTTTAGAAAACCTGAGAATAAAAACAAGAAAATGGGTACCTAATACAATTTTATTCAGTACCTAACTAATTACCTGTAATTTAACATTAATATATGTTTATTATTGAAATTATATGTTGAGGATTCAATATTTACAATTATTTTTAATAGCCATCATCAAAATAAACACCAACTGTGACAAAAAACTAATTGTAAATAGCCGGTTGATAATATGAACCTGTATATGTTTACATCAGTTAATAACGTGGCACTAAAAAACATGGAAATAAGTGCATGTGAGATGGAGAATGCTGCGCGAAGTCGTCGAAATGGCAAAAAATATTTTTATGTTATTAATTACCTAAAGAATGAAATTTCAGCACTATTGTGATCAGATCTGCTATTACAATCGTCAATGATACACTGCCCCATGATTGCACAAATAAAAACAATATATTTATTAAAATACTAACAATGTTAACACATCGAATGTCTAAGAGCGACTGAGAGCGCGAGGCTGGCTGGTCTGAGGTTGGGCTAACGGTTGGCTTCACTGGCTTACCTCTATAGTTCAGTCTATTTTGTCTATGGTTTTAATCGTGGTGTGGATAATTGCTCTTAACTAATTAAGCTAATTAAGAAAACAAACGGCAAAAGCCTTGCATAAAACTGGAAACTAAAACTGGTTCATTACAAGATAATCGAAATTTTAAGAACTTTTTAAAGTGTACGATGTACAGAGTGCTACTTTGAGTGAGGCTCGTATTTATTTATAAAGAGGATTTCCTCTTGATCTTTAGAAGCACGTGCCGACAGTTTATTTTTTCAAATTCCTTAGTGAAAACTTAATTTTCTTTTTAACCTTCTTTTAGCAATTTTCGTACCCCGCAGCTGGACAAGCTAGTGCGACCTCAAACAACACCGCGTTTTAGTCACAGCGCATGCACAATTGGTAACTGGGCTGCGCATTGTTGTCAAATCTCATATATAAAGGATAGGTTACTGGTAAGGTACTGCATTTTGACGTAATAGTTTTGTTGAGTAGATGTAAGCCACGAGTCCTATCATTCCACAAAAAAAAAAACAAAAATTTAATTCTTTTAAATAGGTAACCTATGAAAGAGTACTTAAAATCTAACCTATCAGAAAAATTAAGCAGTAATCAATAATAATAAATGAAATACACAAAATAAATAAATAATCTGGTTACTCACCTGATCTTTAGAGCATGACACTTGAAATTTTGTGGCTATTTATGAATACCCTCTTATAAACTAATAAAATCGAAGACTAAAATAAAAATGCAACTAAATGAATCAGTGAAGTATTTGGCCATTCCCGTTTTATACCAGGTGCGACGACAGCCGACGTATCCGCTCTCACAGGCGTGCGGCAGCAGAAATGAGTGGCTAACCACAGTTGCACCTCGGAAGTATTAGGATTTCTACTTAAATTTTATTATTTTATTTATTTTGGATTAATTTAATAAATCTAGCACCGACTCGATGTTGCAGTGCCTGAACAAGAAGGAAGAGTAGAAACATACCGTATTTCTGTACATCCCCATTTTAATTATTTTAAATCTAGTTTAGGTAGCGACAGTACTATAATTCAGGTAGACTAGGTCACTGACAGTGAGATTCACAAGTTAAATAGAAACATTGCTTATCTATTATAAAATTATAACATCATAGTAGTTTTGGCTTTGTATTACCCTTCCAATATACAGGGTGACCCGATGCATGATACAAAAAGATAGAGTGCAAATAGATGAGGTCAAAATAATATCAGTTCTTCATATAAACTTTTTTCATATGGGCCTTCGTTAACAAGTTACGGGCCCTCAAAGGTGAAAATTAAGAACTTACTTTAACTTATTCTTGTTTTATTTTTATATTTTGTTATGTGTAAAAAGTAAGTAAAGTGAAATTTTCTCGGCTCTTATTTTAAAAATATGTATGCTTCCAACGTATAGTAATTAAGTACAATAAAAAATTAAAAACAAAAAATGGTAGAGGCGCCCGCTCGATGTACAATGTGACAAAATCACAAATATTTCCTAAACTGTTAATTTTACCGAGTTGAATCAAAAGGGTATTATCGCTGGAAAATTCGTCAGGGAACATATTTTTGATATAGGCAGATTGCGATCGTCATCTATGCAAAAATTCTGAGTTGTTAACCATTGGGCATATTCCGTCCCTGGCGTTCTGGGCATAATGAAGTTTGACTTATAATATCAAAAACAAGCTGTATGCATGTGTTATCGATCAACAAATTTGTATCATGCTGAAGTTAATGGTTTAGAGACTGTAAATAAAAATAACTTTTTAATTTTCACTTTTGAAGGCCCGTAACTTGTTAACGAAGGCACATATGAAAAAAAATTATATGAAGAACTGATATTGTTTTGGCCTCTTCTAATTGTACCCGATATTTTTTAATCAACTACCGGGACACTGTGTATCAAAAAAGTAGTTCTTTTATAATCAATGACTACTGATTTTAGCATAGTTCACTTGTCTTCTACAACTAGTATTGAATATAAGGAAATGTACGTATAATTTTTTTATTTATATCTTAATATTTTTGGGAAACGAACATTTTTAAAATAAAAAACCGAATTGTAATTGATAGTAATTCTTTTATTTATCTTATCATAATGAAGTAATTAAAAAATTAGGGTAATTAAAGTGCCTATAGAATTTTTTTAACGTATCTATTTTACATCACTACGGGGCACAATGTCATATCCTGTATCGTTTTTCTTGGAATGTGCCATCAAAAACCATCTGTCCCTCTCATCATTTTCTCTGAATGTGAAATATAAGGCTGTCTTATTCAAAATTAGGACGTAGCGATTGAGCTGTATCCATGTGTCGCCATTGGTATTCACATTCCACAGTTGATATTCCGATCTATTCTTAGGGTATGTTATGACTATTCTAAAAATATATGTTACATAATAAAATTAAATATGTCATTTGAAATCATAAGTACTGCTTACGCATTGAGACAAATGATTTATATAAGATTTAGATGATGAAAACAGAAACAGAAAATATAACATTTAAAGCAATAAAGCAATAAACTCCAAAGCACACCATACGCCATACTGCCATCTACCACGCCAGGTCACGAGATAACCTAATGGGACGATGGGAGCAGACAAAGACAATGCATCTGGATATGAAAAATCACTCAGTAATGAGGACATTTACTCTGATTTAAGTACAAGTGCACCAAATACGAGTTTACGTGAAGAATTTATTTAAGGAGTACCTATATTTGAGTGAAAGTACTCAGTTTTAGTTTAAATATAATCACAAATGAGTAAAATGATCAAAATATTGAGTGAAAATGTTTATTGCTTTCACTCACACCACAGACAATATAGCTTATCGCCAAGCTATTTGTCTGTGCTCACACCGAGTCTTTTACAGTGTATAAATCGATGCAAAACCACTCCAGATATCAATTAAGTGGAAGCAGCGGCGCACACTGTACTATTTTGAGAGGGGGAGTGCCAAAATCAATTATCTCGACTTAGAGTTGAGGTAGAAAAACGAACCAGGAGCCAAATGAAAGCCTAGGTAATGAAGATCTTAGAAAAAATATCATTGTAAAGAATTTTTATGATCTGACCTTCAAATGGCCTTGTCAAAGTTGATAGAATCAAATTTTCATGAATTTTCTTGTTTTAGCCGTTTTTCTAATAAATGAACTTTATATAATTTGCCACGACAAATCCAAATCCGTCGTCAAAATTTGTCTATCATTTTTCTAATGGTCCAAGAGAAAAAGTCAACCCTTGATTGGTTTTGCATACTCAGAATAGAGTCACAAGTCACTCACTTCTGTTGCAATAGTTTCACTCATAAAGTTGTAGTTGTTATTTTTTACAGTGTATAGTTCGTACGATATTTGTTGAGATAGAATTCCAAAGACCCCCGCGTCACTTTCTTGGAATTAACCACATTCGACACCTCTGGTAGACAATGGCGGAAAATTTCACCTGCCGCGGGAAATTGTTACAGTAGTTCCGGTAACAGAACTTTATTGACTTATTCTTTTCTTGGAATTCTATCAACAAATATTGTATGGAGTGTACAGCAAACGTTCCTCAATAACCTGGCTAAATGATGAATTCGGGGACGATAAGCAAAATGGAAAAGCTTACCCACTTGCTACATTGCGTAGGACAGAATATCCAGCATTGCTCCGTGGCTCCAGATTCCAGAGCTGCCAGTTCCCATGTTCCCAATCTTCTTCTTGCCCAAATGATTGTCCTTCTCCACCCAAAACTTTCCCTGTTATTTTATTCTCTAGCACAAACTTTTCCTGGTAACCTGCAGAATAAATCGTTCTTTTTGTTAGTACCTGGAAAAGTCACTAGATATCTTCAAAGCGCTTGTTATCTTTTTGGTTGCTTCATTTTGTATTACTTGTTTCTTATTATATATTTTTTTTTATATCGGCACTTGGCTTGCTTTCAATTAACGTTCTAAAAAACAATCTGTCTTGTTTCCAAAAAATCGAACAGATTTGTGTGTGTAACCAAGGGTTGTCAGTAAACAAACAATACTTCTTGGGTTGAAATCACGTTGAAATCCTAAAACCAAGACTGAAAAAATGGAAAATCTAGAATTTCCATTTGAAATTTTAGAAAAATCAAAATCTATATACAACAAAGAACTGAAGGAATTTCAAGATTGGAAAATCAAAGAAGGAGCGAAAGGCGTAAACGAAGATGTCTTACTGGCTTATTTTTTCAATTTAAGTGAGAAATTAGCTCCATTCACACTGTGGACTAAATATTCCATGTTGAAGTCAACTTTGAGAGTTTACAAGAACATTGAAATTTCTAAATTCGGAAGACTAGTGGCATTTCTAAAGTCTAAGCACAAACATGTTCAACCAAAAATTCCAAGGTCTTAGAAAGAGAACAAATCGAACAATTTTTGCGTGAAGCCCTAGACCAAGATCATCTTATGAATAAGGTAGGTTCTACTGAATAGTTTAACTAAGTTATATTTATTAAATTTGTTATTTTTAGGTGGCGTTGATATTAGGAGTTTTTGGCGCTTGCCGTTGCGAGGAATTGACCCATAGACAATATAGAGGATAAAGAGCAGTATATCCACATCATGATCTCAAATACTAAAATGAACAAACCAAGAAGCTTCGTTGTGTTAAATGAAGGATTTTGTGTTAATCCAATTGAATTAATTAGAAAATATTCTAAGCTAAAGCCTCAAAATGCATAAAAGCATAAAAGGTTATTCTGCAATTTTCATAAGGCAAAATGCACTCGTCAATGTGTTGGTATTAATAAGCTATCAAATATCTCTAATCTTGTTGCGCGATTTTTGGACTTGACAGATTCTAATTTATATACATAGCATGGCTTGCGTCGCGCAACTGTAACTCTCTTGGTCAATGCTGAAGGGGATATTACAACACTCAAACGTCACTATGGATGGAAGTCATCTACCGTAGCAGAAAGTTATATAGAAGAGTTAATTTCCAGCAAAATTGATATTGCTTAAAAGATACAAGGCATGCAGACTCCTGAAGCAAGCACAAGCAAAGGGGCAACCTGTTCTATAAATTTACCACAATCACCAATGATTCCAATAATCCTTTGGCATCAAATTACGGCTTTATCATAAATGTTAATGTTAATGTTAATATTAATAAGTAGGTAGATTGTAAGTTTGTAGCATTTTAGGTTATTTGTTGACTTATTACTGTTTCAAATTGGTTTTCTAATAAAAACTAAAAAAAATTAACCAAACATTTGTCATTTTATGATTTCTATAAGTCACTAGCGGGTTATGAGTCATAACTTACTAGTGACTTATGACTTATAACTCACTAGTGACTTATAGGCGACATTATTCCTTTAAAACCAAATAAATTATAGTATCGTTATATACAAGTGTTGGATAAATGTAGTTATTTTACTTTAGTAAGTAATCAAAAGTGAAACAAATTGCTTATTATCCTCATAAATGTAGATAAATACGAACCACTCCGAGTGTGAAATTTAATACTCAATTTTTACTGTGTATGTAAGTAAAAAGTCCTTGCTGTTTCTTGGAACTTACCAGTTATAGCAACAATTAGGACTAACACAAAAAAACTAACTTCCTTCGACATATTTGTTAAATACGTACTTTTCTCTTGGAAATCAAATACTGAATAATATCAGCGCAGATAATTTGTTTTGATTAGCGATTGACCTTATCGAACTTACAATTAGTTGATACTCTAAATTACTGGGAATACAGAAGATAAATTTGTTTTTTATTTAATATACAGGGTGTGTCGGGAGAATAGCACAGAACACCAGGAATGGATTCTACATGTCAAAATAATAAAAAAACTTTTAAAGAAAAGTGTTCAACAGACGAAATATGCGCAATAAAAAGACCTACAAAATGATAGATTAAAATCGGATAAATTATCTTAAATTATTAACTTAAAAGTTATTGAAAAAAAACTAAAAAAAAACGTGGAAAAACTGAATTTTTTTAATTATCCATAACTTGGTTGTTATTTGTTGGAATTTTATAAATGTGCCTAAAAGTTGTGAGTTTTATTGTTATTCAAAACTGTGCGAAAGATGGGCGCTGTGGGTCCAATAGTTTTTGCAAAATTATATTTATTTATCAAGTCAAGTGCAAAAATGCATAACTTTAACCTTGTCTCTTCGAAAGTTAACAAAAAAGGGTTTAGAAAGTCGATTTTTAAAGGCAATTTTTGTGGCAAATTCAGTGCAAACTACCGTGGTCATGATTTATGGTATAACTGTAACTCTCACCTTGAGCCCTGGGGTCAAATTAGGGATCATTTAAGAGTTAACTTTGGATTTGGGTTTTCTATCTAAGTGTAAGTAGCTATCTGTAAATTGAACACATCAACAAAAATACCTTCATATAACACTGTTTTGACGCAATAATTATCCAAATTTAATAAGAAACAAAACAGTTATACCGAAAAATCGAAGAAAAACAAATCAATATGAACTTGCGACGTCCTTTTTGCACGATTTACCCAAATCCGAGAGATTGCCCACCATATCCTGGACACCCTGTATTCACTTATGAGTGAATTTTCTTTCCACTCAATTAAAAACCAAGTCAGAACAAAAAATTACTCAGTAATAGTTAAATTTAAATCATATTAGACAAAAAGTCAATTCTAAATTGGTTTTACATACTCAGAATAGAGTCAAAGGTCACTCACTTAATAGTTAGCAGAAACTCGGACTTGTGTAAAATTCACTCACTTCTGTTGCAGTATTTTCACTCATAAAATTTTAGTTGTACTCATACTAATAGAGTGAAAATTTCACTTAATCTTACTTAAATACTTAACTTACTTTCATTGTTTTCAAGATAACCTTGTAATAAACCAGCTTACAAAATTGCTACGTTGCCAATAAGAGAATAACCAGTTAGCATCGTTTCCAAGCTCTATTGCTGCGAATCTTTATTTGGCCATTACGTCATGTCTATGTAATCTTGTGTCGCTTCCAAAACCATCGCCGTTTTTTTTTTGTTTTTTATCATGAATTTTGTTGAGTAACCTTCAATAAATCAATATAAAAATGAATCGATACAAATAATTGGTAAAGTAGATACTAAAGCTTACCGTTTACTACAACGATTTGTATGAGAATAGCGGCAGATAAGATTTTCAACATGTTCTTGTTTATGCTGTACTTTTGTTAATAACAAATTTTTGTTTGTGAAAGAGCTATAATACCCTTGTGTTAACTTGAATTGCACTGATAACATTTGTAATAATTTTGGATAATCTGTTTTTCTTTCGATACTTAGAACTAAGGTCATAAAAACTTGATAAAAAATCATATTTGTGCAGATATCGGAACTTCTTGAAACTTAATATTTGTATAATTAAAATTAAATTATGATGTATCATACTAAAACATGGGATTTTCAAGAAGTTTGAAAATAACTGACGCATGGTTCTTTCCATAAAAATAAAATACTGTTGGAGACTTGTAAATCCAATGTTTATTTTTTATACACTAACGAACTGCTAAATAATTAGGTACATACAAACAATTAACAGAAGCAAAAATACTATGACAGGAAAGGAGTATTAGTATACATTGAAATTTTGTACTCATAAGGTGTATACTGGAAAAATTCTGATTATTATAATTAAATACAAAGAAAAATAATAAATTAGAAAAATAATACACACGTTACAATTTCAATAAAAAGTATTTTAATTCACTGTAATTAAATTACACTGAGTGAGCTACAACCAGTATCCATTTGTCGCTGTCGTCGTTCTGTTTAGGACCGAGTACCACTTTGTCATTTTTTTGAATCATAAAATCGTTGGGATGCCGCTGAACTTGAAATCGCGTCTCATCGATGGTTGTCAATTTCCACCTTTGGGTTCGCTTTCCATGTTTTGGGTAAGTCGACAGCGCTTTGGTTAAAGGACTGGCATCAAGAGCTTTCCTAAAAAAGTATACAGGGTGTAAGTAAAAGGTTTGATCAAACTTACTATGAACAAGTCTCCAAATGAGCTTTGTTTAAGATTAATGAGTATATATCATTTATTTTAATATACACTGTGTCCTAAAATGATAAGAACAAAATTCATATTTTTGTTTTGCAGTTGAAATTTTAAAAAAATCGTTGAAACAGGTCAATTAGTAAATAGAAATTGTCACTTTCCTGCAATTTATTCTATTTTTTTGGGACATGTTTAACAGACCTGTAACATTACCGACATTTTTTTAATAGGACGCTCTATATTTTATAGT